CAACACAATCGTAAAAAAAAAAAGAAAGGAAAGGAAAGGAAAGGAAAAACCGTGGAGTTAACCTTGTACTGTTTACACAGCAACCCTCTGCTAAGCATCCCTATTGTATTCTTATTCTGCCGCACAATAAGAACGCGTCTCACGCGTTTGTGTAATCCCTCTGCTTGACACGATGACCACTCTTCCACCCCACCCCCACCCCTCCCGCATGCACGTGCAGACAACCGCCACGCAACAATGTACGCATGTGTGTGTGTGTGTGGAGAGACGGTGTCACTCCGACTCCTATGCGCAATGGAGTAAAAAAAAACAAAGCGGGGCTGTAATAAAAAACAAAACAAAAGGCGTGCGAATTTTTCTTTTTAATAAAAAAAAACGACGAAGAAATAAGATACAAACAGAAACACGTGCATAAACCCATCCAACAGTCAAAGAGGCAGCAGGAGGAAAGAGAAAAAAAAAGGAGTGGTCGATCCGACTCCCGTTTGCATAGGCACCTACATACACAGACAAATAAAAAGAAATAGGGTGCAATCGCCTCTCCTTCCATCGCTGCTCCTTTTCCTTTCCCGGTTTAGGCAACATTCCACAAGAGCCATCCACGCTTCTCGATTGTTCTACACCCGTCTCTATCTCCCCCTCTCTCTCTGTGTGGATGCTGCATCTCCAACCTCCAACGCCTCCACCACGGGCTGTACCCGCCGCAGTTGGCACACACACACAACAAAAAAAAAAAACGCCGTTTTGAACACAAAGAAAATCACTGAAATGGGCAAATGCCACAGGCATCACTCCGGTACCACACACTGAGGAAAAAAACGATGAGTAAAAGGCAGAAAGACAACGCTAAGAGTCCTGGAAAACAAATAAATCAAGAGAAGAACAAAATGTAACACATTTTGGGCTTGTGCAATTCTGTTCCTAAGACGGCGAGAGTTACATGGATGGGGCGTCCATCAAGAAGCAAGTAGCTCTTCCGAGCAGCCCAGGGCACAGATATAAAAAACACATATCCATGAAAGACAATATTTGTCCGCATATATGCATCTATGCAACAAAAAACACCAAAAGTAATACAACATCGTTCTTTCTTACAAACTTTCACATGCCAAACCTTGTCTCAGACACACGCAAAAAAAAAAAAAAAAAAAAAAGGTAGGTAGGTGGTGGTGGTGGTGGTGGTGAACTCATATTTGTAAGTATTTGCAGCAGAGACGATAGGATTGGGAATATTATCCCTCATATTCATTGCAACGCGTCAGAGACGTCACATTCAGTAAACACACTACCCCGGACACGCATGCACACTAACGTATCGTAGGGAATAGATCGAAATAGTGAGAGAAGGAAAGCTGCATTAGCTGAAAATAGAGATTTGTCAACTACACTCTTCTTAAATAGAGGGCACCGCACACGCATCACACATGCACGCACACCAGCCCGCTGGTACCAACACCAATAAAAACCTCAAAAAAGGTACGGACACATAAGAATCAAAGTGCATTTACTTCATTTTATCCTTTACTTGCACGTGCATTTACTATTATTGTTATTGTATATGTATATATATATATATATATATATATACATACATATACATATATATATATATATCAGCTTTGTCGCCACTATCTGATTGGCTCCGTTTCTTCAGGGAATCAAGTTCACATTCTCTCTCTTTCTCTCTTGGTTTTATTTAACACCGGTATGGTTTCGATTGTATTTGTATATATAAATTTATACCAGTTTTTTTCTGTTGTTGCTGTTGTGTGTAGGCGTCCTTCCAATTTCAGGCCGATGCCAGTGATACATACGTAAAAACGCACATGTACATGTTGGTATAGACACGCCTATGGGACTCATATAGCACCAAAAAAAAAAAAAAAACGGAATCCAAAACAATCCAAGTTAAACCTCAGATTGTTAAATATGCTCACACCCGGCAAAAACTACTTACAGGTAGAGAGCGTAAACTTCTTTTTTGCGGTTTTTGCAGGTGAGACCGCGTAGATGGAGGAGGAGGAAGAAGAGTAAGGGGGTGCTACAAGCTTCAGGGTAATTGGTCGAGTGGTTTCAAAATCCAATGCCTTCATGAGAGCATTTACCTCTGCTGTCACATCACGAGAACTGATAAGCTTCTCTTCGGCAAGAACTTTGATATCTAAGGAAGACGATATTGACTCCTCCAGACTGCTAGAACATACCGTTGACAGTGGAATCAACTGAGGAAAAGCCATAATAGCATCCAGTAGTCGACGGCGATTTGAATTCATTGTAACACCTTCTTCCTGCAAACTACCAAAGGCATTCTGCAGCTCAATCAGTTGTTCTTTTAGTATCAATGCATCTTCGTCTTGCTGCAGCTCCGTGGGCACTTGGAATTCGTCGGTATTTGCATTAATAGGCGGCTTATCGAGAGCTGCGTTTTCAGATATACTCTTAGGATTGCTGAGGGCAGCCTTTACCGCCGTAATGCGTTCCAGCAATACCACAATAACTTGCACAAGAAGATTGACACCTTGACGGTGCTGCGCAGAGGTATGGTTCTTATTCTCCCTCCAGGTGGGTGATCTTATGTCATGTCTCTGGTACCCCTGATCATGTTTGTCGTGTCCTTGAGCAGAAAAATTGCTCTCCATGCTGTACTGGCGGTTATGGAGAAGATCATTTGCCCTGTCTGTAAAGTCGTCTTTCTCACTTTTGCGTTCACATTGGGTGTCTTCCGCTCGCCGCAGGCCTCCATCCTTCTCCTTTAAAAAATAAGAAGGATAGCTGTTCCAGCGAGATTTGCATGGAATTCCATTCTGAGAGCTCAAAGGATAATAGTACGGTGCCTGCCGCGGCATCATTCTGCCATTGGAGTTATTGTAGCGCGGTGGCCCCTTCGCCGGAGCCCCCGGCACAGTTGGCGGGGGGTTCATCATCTCTTGCGTAGGCCATGGAAGAGGCGTTTGGTTTTGTGGTGAAAGTGGAGGTGGAAGTGGGGGTGGGGGTAAAGGCATTGAAGGTGCTGTGAGGCCATGCATTTGGCGTCTGTCAAAGTATGGGGCCTCGGTAGACATTCCAAGTGGAATAATCGCATGCTGTGATGGCAGCATTAACCCTGTTGGCACTGGTGGTGGACCACCTCTACCACAGTTAAAATCATACGAATTCTCATCCACCACCCCAGACAAACTTGATGGACCTACTTCGTAAGGTGGTGGACGCAGCGAAGCGGACAAATGCCCCTGGATTTTATTGGAAGTACGCACCGCACCCCCCTCATGTGACGTTGTAGCTGCACCCACGGTAACCACTCCTTCTGGGACAAAGCTGCCCTCGCACAGAAAATTTCCCTTTATGCTTTCATTGTACGATGGTGGCATTGCCCCCCCTGTCGGTGAACTTCGTCGGATCTGTCTTAGAGCCACACCAGATAGTGGTGAGCGGCGCGGCGACGATGTTGCAATGCTGTTTTCGTCACTTTGTTCCTTACGCGTCGAAGTGCTGTGTGACCCAGAGACTCCAATTACTGTTGAGACGTGGCTTACCTTTTCAGACTCCTTCTTGGCGTTGAGGGAGCTTACGCTGCCCGCAGCTTCCGGGGGAAGTGGCTTGTTCTTTGGGTACATGTTTCACTTGCTTGGTTCCTATCTATTCGGTGGCGTCCCGGCAACGCTGGTTGACCTCCTTCTGACACTGTTGCCCCAATTTAGTCCTAAGCTCCTTACCGCTGCGTGTATGCAGACAAGTATACACAAAAGCTATGAAAAGCAAAGAAGGCGTTTGCTCTCGTTGGGTCTCTCGATATCGTTGGGTGTGTATGTGTGTGTTTTTCCCCTTGTGCTATTTATCTTTTAAGTACAGATACAGCGCGCCTTCCACCCTTCGTCCTTGAAATAAGCAATGAACGAGACTGCAAACCTCTCTCTAACGTTTTCCGTCTCTTCCTCGTTCCACTTTATTATTATTATTATTATTATTGAGAGGTGACTCAAGGCCGCCACTCCCCTCACGTCCCTCTTCTTCCTGTCGTCTCTCACTCCCTCGAGGTGCGTTTCTCCTGGGATTCGCTATGATATCCTGTGGATTCAAAAGGCTTCAAAAGGCAACTTCAACTGCTCGTTTCGGTGCTTCCGACGTGCATCACACATAAACACAAAACAACAAAAGAAAAAAAAAAAGAGCGATTGAGCAGTATAAATTTGCTCAACACGTATTGACCGAATACATAAACACAAATACGTTTAAACGAAATAAAATAAAAGAGGCTCTCCAGAAGCATTGCGCGTTCTGACCTTTTTCCCCCACCCCACCCTACCCTATCAGAGAGACGCCCGGTACGTCGCAGTGGCTTCGAACAGCCACCCACAACGTCTCCTTCAAGGGGTCTCATCCCCCCCCCGCGCGCTCGCCCAAGAAGACCCACCATGCAGTTATATTCTCATTGGTCGTCGCAGGCCACTGCTTTGCGGGGCATTTCATCACTTCTCCAATTCCGCGGTATTCCGTGCCCAAAAATTTCAGTCAAGATTGCGCTGTTGGGTGGCAAAAATCCCCTGTTCCCAACCAATGGCCAGTGCCGCGTTCACGAGAGCGACAACGATTTTTGTCTCAAACTGCTGCCACTATGCAGTGTACGGGGTCACTGTTTTCCCGCAGATCGTGGATTCTTCGTCATCGTCTCTAGCCAGCACCGTCCGACACGATAAGCCCAAACACCGCAATCGTAACTGTAAATGCGCTCTGGGTCACACAATCGGCACGATCAATGACATCAAGTTCACTCGGTTGAGACCATTTTGGTCAAGATGCCAGAAAAAAGCGCGTGCCGTGGCCGTCATCCATCCGTCCTTGGCGCGTTCCTTACACACCTGTCATCGCTGAATAGGAAGCTGCCTAACAAACAAAGACTGCACGTGCCACATTTCACCACGCCTTTGTAAGAATCAAAATAAAGTTGTAGGTAAAGAAACAAAACAAATGACCAAGACGCTCACGCTCTTATTTGGCTTTACCTTGTCGCAGGTGCCTTCCACACTCTCTGAAAGCAGAGTGCAACACGGAAAACAAATAACGAACTAGCATACTCATACATACACACAAGAAAGTTCAAGACAACGTAGAAAACGCAAGCCACTATTGTTTAATCAATGACATCTTGTTTTTATTCTTTTTCATTTCCCCCATCCTCACCACCAAAATAAAAAATGCTAAAAAAAAAATGGAGGGGGTGGGGCTACGTACACCATTCGATGTCACAGTTGTCTGTTCTTATGCACTGATGCCTACACTAATAGGAAATGCATACATTGAATCCAATGACACTTCGCGTTCCTCCTACCTCGTCATTCATCGGCCGACTTTCTCTAGTATGCAAACCTTTTTAGGCGCATAGCAACTTTGGTGCAACTTGCTTTGAGTGTCAAAGCCCGTCGTCTTTGACAGACGGATATGCATACCTACCTTGTATATACAAAATATAAATATATAATCGTATTCATTGATACTGTTACTGTGCTCCTGAGTTTGTTTGTTTTCCACCCTGGTTTCATATCACCATCTCAATACAAGTCTATTTTCCTTTCTCTCTTTCCAGTCGTCAATTTGACTCATCAGATGCAAAGGAACGACCAGCCTGACGGTCGGACGCGAGAAGTGGCGTCATGCAGACAGTTATCCTGGCTGTAGCAACACAAAAAGTCTTCCTTAAAATGACGGCGACAAAACGATCAAATGCGGATGAATCGCCATTCTTGTGGGGTTGCAGCAATGCAAAAAAAAAAGGGGGCGGGGGAGGGCAAAGCAATGAATAAGGGATCAATAAGGCGTCGTGAGACGTTCGGCGCACGTCTTTCCGCACCTGTAAAATCTTCAACGCCACTGAGTGTGCCCCGTAACTTGACCATTAAAAATAAGAGGGCGAGGGTAAAAGATAAAAAAACAAAAAGGTCTCGATATGTCTAGGCTTGCAGTGACTGGTTGCAACGCAATTAGCTGCAGAAAAAAATCCCCGCAGCTATAGCTTCGTAGGATACCACCCGTCGCTTTGGGTCCAAGCAACTTGTCGATCGGTGACGTCAACTCCAAAACTGCGAGTGTCCCCCGGTGAAAGAGGCCCTGACTAGAAGCTGAGCCCCCGCCACCCCTTCCAAGATTGAACCAGATGGTTTGGCATTATCCTCCTTCCCACATGGTTTCACCTTTTCCGGCGATAATCGACATGTAGAAACCGAAACAAAAGCATCCACAGGCGATTTGTTTTTCATACTTTATTTAAAAAATAAAACCCCTATAATATTTGTCATCACTGCTGGTGGAACGGACGTTGTTTTTTTTTTCTTTTTATATTGTTCTCGTCGTCGTCCACTGCTGCTATGACCGCTTCATCGTTTACCGCGTTTATTGGTCAGTCAAGCTCAATCCACACCAGGAACTAAATTGGACATGCTTGTGTCACTCCTGGTGTGCCTTACATTTGGGGTTCCGGATGACAGGTCATCCGAGAAAGGAGGTGGCAATGCCACATCCACTGGGTCCTTTGCCTTCCCATCACTAGCTATGGGACCCTGTAACCATGGGTGGTAGTAGAGCTCCTCCATTGAACTGCGCTTCGCAGGATCCACATTCAGACAACGACTGATAAAATCAATCGCGTTTGCCGAAATGGAACCGTTTGTGTTTGTTACCGGTAAAGAAGGTTGGCTTCTATCAGCATCACTGTAAAGTGGCGTTGCAGCTGTTATTTTCTTCGTCGTCAAGGCCTTCGCCGCATCTGTGGAAGCTTCTGCAGTGTCCACTGTATCAAAATCAGTTTGCTGGAAGGTCCTTGTCATCTCCATCCCTACCTGTGTAGTCAGGCTTCTGGTGGGCGTGGAGTTAACCTGCCCCTCCGCCGCGTGACCGCAATGCGTAAGGCTGTCTGAGACGAGAGGGTGTGCTGCCTCACCACCGCTTTCTGTGAAGGATCGATCTGCCGGGGAAACAAATTTATGTGTCTGTTCGACCAGATTCCTGCCAACATGTGTTGCTGTTGTGTCGCCGTTGGCAAGATTGTTAAGTTTAGATGTTTCACGCGCGTCCCATGTGCAACTGGTGTCAGAAGAGACTATCATCGCCAGATGCGACTTGGGTTTAGCATTTGGCAATGAATTCTTACCTGTTTCGCATTCACTGCTGTTTGCGCAGCCCAGCAAAGATCCATCCAGTCCTGAGTGTCCTGTAACTTCCTCAGGTAGGAGGAGTGACGTAAATGACCAGCACCCGCCTGGATTTTCCACGCCGACCGCGCGCACGTTGTTTGTATCTAAAACTTGGAACATACCGTCTCTGGACACCCTCATCTCCTCCTGACTATCCAGCAATGTAGGGCACTGCCCACACATCGTTTTTGCAGAACCCAGCGGTGCATCATTGTTCAGGCAAAGCTGTGAATCAACTTCGCCCCTACTCTTCCGTTGAGATTTTCTGCCGTCTTCAGAATCCCCGCAGTCGTTTCGAAGTTCCACTGCAAACGGATCGGGTTTGGAGAGAATAGCCTGCAATTGTGAGCGAGCATCACGCGCACGCCAAGGAAGTTGTCCCATTAGAAGCACATATGCCGTCACACCCAAAGAGAAAACGTCTGCCTTGAAGAGGTTTACCTGAGGAATGGCCTCTAAGCCCGCCGTTGGAGACCTTACATTGACTCTCGTCGGCCCCTCCGGGGAATACGGTGGTGTTGCCGCTGAATGAACCTCCGTTTCCGCAGAATTACACGACTCTCTAAACAAGTCACTCTTCAACGAGGTTGAAAAGACATTGGAAATCCCTCGATGCACCTCCTGCGTCAAGCAAGAGAGTGTCATCGCAGGCACCATCCTCGTACGATTTCCGATACTGCTGTTATAACTACTGAATCGGCGCGGACACAAAGGTGCCGCCTGAAACTCAGAAGACACCAACATTTCTGGTGGCAAGAAGGCCACAGTCCCCTCGCGTCGCACACGCACAGCCGAGTCACCCACCATAATGGAAACACCGAAATCCGAAAGCTTGGCATCGCCCTCCGCGGTGAGTACGATGTTCTGTGGTTTAATGTCACGATGAGCAATGCCGAGGTGGTGGGCGTACATGGCAGCAGAGACAATACTACGCATCGCACGTATAACATCCTGCTCATTGAGTGCCGCCCTATCGCCTGTGGGGAGAACAGTGCCATCGTTTTTCATGGACATAATTTCACCACGCTCGGCGAGTTCCAAAACTAAATAAATCTTTCGGCTTCTTGGGTCATCTATCACCTCCACAACTGCCAAAATATTGTCGTGTCGCAGCTTCTTCATGATGGCAACCTCACACTTCACCCGATGCAGTGGCGAGTCCACCCCTAACGCCTTTCTTTGCAACCTCGCTCGATCCATCACCTTCATTGCGTAGTACACCTTATCCTCAAGATTGTAGCAAAGCATCACCTCAGAGTACGAACCCACACCAAGGTTCCACCTTGGATAAATCACATACTTATCGTTGAGCATATGCTGATATTTTCCAATTACGCGCTCGTGGGCATAAGAAACCTCCACCACTTTTTTCTTAAAGAGATGAGAAGGAGTTCTACCAACATTGACGCTCACAAGCTCCTTTGGTTCTGGAGGAAGCAAGTCCAGTGGCCAAAAAGAAATTGGTTCATGACATGGAAAGGGACAAGAATCAGCATTGGTCGGAGTTTTTAAACCAAACTTCTCCTTTGCGCTATGTGCTTCGGAACCAACGCACAGATTCGTCAAGTTGGACGTCGTGGAGTGAGAAGCTGATTCCGTAGGGCCATAAACTGTACAGCATAAAGGAGGTTTCCCACTATCACGTGGACCATGTTCTGGCACTGCCGAGCTTGCCTTTATCGCCCCGCTTCCTTGGAATTCACCGGATTGCTTACCAAAGGTGTTTCTTGGAGAACGCAGCGAGACTGCTGAACGCGTCAAAGCACAATTACCGTACCTCGCGTCCTGCCTGTGACATCCCTGAAAAAGTGTATCACTGGTGCAGCTATTTCTAGCATTGCCAGTCGCTGTGCTGCGGTTCATTGGGTTGAACTCGTTAAGCATATACATGGAGGAGTAGCTCTGTGGGGTCATGGGTTCATCGAGTGTACTTCCCGTCCACGTAAACTCATCACCATCCGGATCAACTCCAGTCCACCTGTTCAGGGGCATTGTAGTAGCTAACGACAGACGTACAATATTTGAGCTCCGCGCTGAGCATTCAACAAGGCCATGATAACTGTCATTGTTGTTATTATTATTATTATTATTCTCGTAATCCTGACCATCGCTTGAGAGCATTGGGCCATGCTTCAATGGGATGGTGGTATTTGTCGTGTTTTTTTGCTCCTCCTCTAAAACAATATCATCATTACTATCGCTGCTATCCACTCTATGTATCGGAGAGGAATGCTCGACACCATCCATCTCGTGTTGGTGTGGCGTTTCCACAATCGGCAGATTAACTGGCGAGAAGGTCGTGAAACTGTCCTCCCGTTTATTCTCCGGACCGTCATTGCTTGTTTGTGTATCTGCCTCGTTCCCTTCGTGGGACTCCGTAACGACGACCTCCGGCACTTCCTGGGGCACCTGCGAGGCGGATGTTTGGTCCACTGACCGCACCTTGCTTCTCCTCAAGAGGCAGCGTCTCAACAGGTAGTCAGCGAACCCCATGGCGCCTGGTGCTCTTCTACCCAATCACTCAGACGGCAACGAGCACCTACGCACGCGGAAAGCTACAAAACAAAATAAATATGCCAACCTACACAACGTGTTCCTCCTCGCTTGCTAGAAGAGTATTGCCCGCTACGCGTACACTGTTATGGGGCTGGTGCCACTATGACAACACCACGGCAACAATAATTTTAAAAAATCGGTTACCGTGGGGCGTGGTTGGTTGTTTTTCTTTATACCAGGATGATGAAAGTGCCCTCTGCTCAGTCAGCGACTCCGCGTCTTTGTTACGCCAGCCGTGGTAACTTCCCCTCCTTACTTCCTTGCACTCCAACTCCGTTACTCCCAGTCTCCCTTATCTATGTATTTCAATGCAATACCACCCCTTTCACCTCCTTTTTTTTTTTTTGGATTCTGTTTCAAGCGTCTCTGCCTTTATACTCTTTTCCTCCCAAGTTTAATGTATAAGTAGATATGTGGGTACACGAATATACACAGAAATATATATTATTGTTGCCGTTGTCACTCGAATTAACAAGCACACAGGTAACCTACACACAGAAGCAAAAGATGGTGAGTGCAATGGTTTTTTTTTTGGCTTTATATATATATATATATATATTCCCTTGTAGAAGTGTGGAGTAGTCTCTTTTTAATGTGTTGTTTTTGTTTTTGTCTTTGTAATGGTTCACGCACACGCTGAATGCAAACAACTGTTAGTGATATCTTCTTCCTTTAGGTACGCGGTCACGTATACGCTATCCCACAAACCCGCTAGGCCTCATCCAAAAAGAAAAAAAAGAGGAGGAAGTGAAGATAAAAGTAAAAATAGATGCGGCAGAGCAGACGTGTCGTCAGCTCACACCCACCTGCTGCAATGAAGATTTGGGTGCAACGTGGGTGCGGCGGGCCAATAGTGAAAGTGATACAGAAAAAAAATAAAAAAACGACCCTCCTTCTGTTTTATTTGGTTCATTGTTTCTGTTTTTGTTTTTTTGTTTT